GTTTCCTTGCTGTGCCTAGTTGACGAGTAGCTAGCAATCTGGTAGCATCCTGAAACGAGCTTTCCTAGAAGGCAAATTTTTTCCCCCGGACGATTGGAGCAGACTGTTCTTCCTAGATAGCTCCTTCTTAGTGCACATGTTCCTTCAAAAGAACAGGACTATTTTTTTTAAGGGACAGAAGCAACATTAGGATTTTATTACACAACTTGAGATGTGGACCAAAGACCAAAACAATTTTGCCCAGGCAGGGATTTATCTGTTGTTGTCTTCTGCTGTGCAAAAACCTGCTGCTTCCGGAAGATAATTCCAAGGTGAAAGCCAAGTTGTTTATTTTAGGAGTAACTGCTTTACAAAAATACTGGTATAGGCCAGTGAGCTTGTTTAGAACAATGTATCCACTGGCTGTGCCTCAGATCTTTGAACATCTTGGCAGGTTCATGTAACTGAATGTCCGGGCCTGCGCACACTCTGGGCTTTCCATCCTGTACTTAAAAGGATCATAGGTTTGTGACCTGTGAGGGTATTTCCTCCCACCCTGAGGTGTTGCCTGTGAAAAATGGTGATATCCATCAATATGAATGAGGGCTAATAAATGAAGGGCTGAGAGATCTTGCATTCTCACTTGCTGCTTTTTTATTTATTTTTTTTTTCTCCTACTAGTAGCAATGGGAAATACGAGAGATTCCATGGTAGGTGAACAGAAGAAATAATGGTAGCATAGTAGCTGCTGGGTAGCTCATTTTGCCATCAAGCAAGGTTGCAATTCCATTTGAGAATAGGCCATATTGTTTTTGGAGTGACACTTCCCCCCCATCTGGTAGCATCCTGAAACGAGCTTTCCTAGAAGGCAAATTTTTTCCCCCGGACGATTGGAGCAGACTGTTCTTCCTAGATAGCTCCTTCTTAGTGCACATGTTCCTTCAAAAGAACAGGACTATTTTTTTTAAGGGACAGAAGCAACATTAGGATTTTATTACACAACTTGAGATGTGGACCAAAGACCAAAACAATTTTGCCCAGGCAGGGATTTATCTGTTGTTGTCTTCTGCTGTGCAAAAACCTGCTGCTTCCGGAAGATAATTCCAAGGTGAAAGCCAAGTTGTTTATTTTAGGAGTAACTGCTTTACAAAAATACTGGTATAGGCCAGTGAGCTTGTTTAGAACAATGTATCCACTGGCTGTGCCTCAGATCTTTGAACATCTTGGCAGGTTCATGTAACTGAATGTCCGGGCCTGCGCACACTCTGGGCTTTCCATCCTGTACTTAAAAGGATCATAGGTTTGTGACCTGTGAGGGTATTTCCTCCCACCCTGAGGTGTTGCCTGTGAAAAATGGTGATATCCATCAATATGAATGAGGGCTAATAAATGAAGGGCTGAGAGATCTTGCATTCTCACTTGCTGCTTTTTTATTTATTTTTTTTTCTCCTACTAGTAGCAATGGGAAATACGAGAGATTCCATGGTAGGTGAACAGAAGAAATAATGGTAGCATAGTAGCTGCTGGGTAGCTCATTTTGCCATCAAGCAAGGTTGCAATTCCATTTGAGAATAGGCCATATTGTTTTTGGAGTGACACTTCCCCCCCCCCCCCCCCAGCAATTGAATTAATACAAGTTTAACATGCAAACCCTAAAATGTTCTGAGCATGTGGACATGCTCCTTCAAACTAAGCCTGGGCAGTTTACAGTACTCTCCAGTGCCTATATGAATTCCACTTTCATCAAAGCAGTAGATGCGTGCGTATCAGAAATAGCAAGTTACCTGCAAAGGAACACTTAGCTGTAAAATAGGAAAATCAAGCTGTGCTACTCCTACAGTTGCTTTCCAGGGTTGCATTATCATTAGTGAGCTGTGCAGGTTCCATGCCTGCTATTTGACATCAGTAAACCCGTTCAGCTGCTCCATAGTTCCTGCCAGGCTGCACAATACTATGTGTGTTTTGGAAGCTTCCCTTTCATGCCAGAGGAGCCTGAAAGCTGCACAGCATCTGCTTGTCATTCCTGGCTGTAAATGGCCATAGGGCTGAAATAGGATCAGGTCACCCAAGTGTGCTTCCAAACAAGGCAAAATCGATTTGCTGATCTTCTTGACTCGAGTCTGTAAATACAGAAGATTGATCAGGATGATGACGGACTTGTAGTCTAGTCTGGGAGACTGAGTGAGAAAAATTTGTTGGCTTTGGGCAGTGCAATGTGCACATGTTAATACATGCCAGAGATGGGCTGTGCTGATAAGACACATTGATAACAAATAATGGTTTTAGTTGAATCAGTTTTTTAGTTGACCGTCATTATCGAGGATGATTATTTTTCTCCATCAGCTTGTGGAGAAAAAGTATTTTAAGAAGAATGCATGTATGCATGATAAATAGTACATATTAGTAAAAAGTGCAAGTTCTACATAGTCTCTGCTTTTACTGTGGGACAAACCATTTGAATCACATATATACACCAGTTAAATCATATGTATACATTTTGTAGTATGGTACTATAAATGGAAGAGATGGAGGATATGTTGCTATTAACACTAAGCCAGATGAATAATTCTTTTTAAGGTTTGGAATATCAATGATCCAATTGAAAATGTGTCAGCTGAGATGAGTCATGTGTTAGCCTCATTCAGTGACTAAGAAATGGAGCAGCCATCGATGTCCAAGCTGAGTCACAGCTTCTGCACACTTCCTCAAACAATTTTTGATTGATAACAGAGTGGTTGAAATTGCTGTATTGTTTGTATTGTAATTTGCAATCTGCAGAATACTAGTATACATATTGCTTGAAAGATTAGACAAGTATATAGTAATTGATACAACAAGACTAGACATTAAACAAACCAAAGCAGTATTTCAGATACAATTTGTGAATCAGGAAAGCTGTCCTGTAATTACGTCCTGGTTTTACCCGTTTTCTTTGTTATAATTATTTCTTCCTTGTTACACTACATGTGTGTCATGAGAAATGAGGGAGAAGTGACCCTTCTGATTGTGAGGTAAGTGTCTTAAAAACTGGTTGCAAATAAAAGAAACCCAGAGTATAGCAGAGTAGCAGAGAGTGTATCGATTTTTTTGTCCTTAGAAGCAGTCTTGTTCATGTGCTGTGGGTCTTTCTGGATAAAAAGCATGAGATCTGACCATCTGAAACCTTTTTACTTTTTCGGATTTTTTTAAAGATTGTCAGGCAATTTTCTGGCCAAGTATAAGAGAAGGATTTTAAGAATGTAAAACTCACTGAGCCCCTTATTTCCTCAGTTGTATTTCATTCACTTCAGTAGTTAATTTCAGTGGAGCTTTATAGTGAAATAAGACAGATCAAAATTAGCACCTCTGCAAACGGAAGTGTGAAGGATGGTCTGCGTGATTTGATATTTTGCATTAGAAGATGTTGGGCATCCTTGAGTGCATGGGACAGAGCAAGGAGAACCAAGTTGACCATCGCTGGTCTGATGGTGAAAGAAGCCTGGGATACAGCTTGCTATCTGCACGACTTTCCATACTTTAAGAAAAAATAAAAATAATAAAAAAAATGCAGCATATCTAAACCACAAATATAGAAAATAATATTCAAGATCCTCAAAATTGATTTTAAGGCAGAGCATTGCAGACTTAGAAAGTTAGATTCAAAGACACTTCTATGTTTGACAAACTCTTCTTCCAGAGATGCACAAGTAATTGAGTCTATGTAGGTCACACTGATATCATAGAATCATAGAATACTAGGGGTTGGAAGGGACCTCAAAAGATCATCTAGTCCAACCCCCCCTGCTCTTTCACAGAAAGGGCCTTGCAGAACCTCTGTGTCAATGTGTTGATCTTGGTAATTCATATCCTTCCCTATCTTCATTTGCATCCAGCTCTTGATTTAGGATTAAAAACACATGACTGAAAGAAATTGTGTACTTTATGTCACTGGATCACTTTGTATTTACATGTCTTCCTCTGCATATGCCCTAACTTTAGGAGTTTAGGAGTCACTTTCTTTGGCTACACCCCAGTGCAGGCTATGTTGGTTTGCACAGATAGGAGAAATAAATTGTGTTTATTCTCCAAAACTATCATTCTTCAGGAGACATAATTTCTTGTGGTGTTCTGGGCAGCCAAACTTTCCTTTTCCTTTTCCTTTGCCTGCAGTAGGTTAAATCTCAATGAAGGACTTGATGAGGTTTGGAGTCTCGAAGGTAGTTACTAATACTACTTTTAAAATTTTAAAAAAATAATAATATGGTTTTATCATATAATGTAATTGTGCTTTCAGTTCTATTTGTGTTGATAAAGATTGTTTACATTTGGCAGGTAAAATAAAACAACTTATTTCTGTTCTTATTTGAAAGTGGAGAAAAAGGGAAACAAATGCATGTAACTGCAATGTGACAAGCAATATGACATATAAGAGATTAAAGATCAAACGAATGAAGAAGAATCTCTGGCAAGTGACTGGAAATTATTAGAAATGCTGATAAACACTCTGTTCCAGCTAGTAATTAAAATGATAAAAACATGTGACTTGTATATTATGTACCTTGTGTAGTTTGTTCTCTTTATTGCACCTGTTCTTGTATCAAGTGTTGTAAGCTCATTGGAATAGAGATGAACGTCCTATTTTATGTAATACTTCTGCCTTTTTCGAGAATAAAGACAGAGGAGAGAGAAATGGAACAAGAACAGAAAGGAATTGTCAGTATTATGTTGTTAGATGCAAAACTGAGTATATGTGCTTTAAAAAATTGTCTGAAAAGTTATTCCATAAAAATGTTTCTAGAAAGAGCTGCAATAATGTATTTGTAGTTGCAGTCACTATCAACTAGGTGTGGTCTTTGCCATGTCCATCTGTCTACTTGTTGCCTGCTTGTGACATCACAAGTCATTCCTACCCAGATTTCTGCCTTATGGTTCTGCTTCCAGCTGCTCCATCTTGGAGCAACATAGAAAAATCCGGCTTTTTGTAAAATGCTCAGTGTGGAAAGATGTGTTCAAGCAATCACTGAAGTTAATGTACACGAACAATGGTTGCCACCATGTATGTTGTGGGATTTTGGTTTTGTGGTGGTTTGGCTTTTATCTTTTTTTTTTCCTTTCTTTCCAAACTGCCTTGCAGGCCCTTGGTTATTTGGAGTTCCTCTTTCATTATCAATGTTACAGTGGTGATGAAGGATGCAGTCTTACCCACTGCATAATAAATCACCTTTCCAAAATAGTTTCAAAGTTCCCAACTAAAATGTGCCAACACCCTCCTAGCCTCCCTATGGTTAATGTTATGAACTTTCTAAATGAGCATGTTAGGGTTTTGTTTGGTTAGTTAGGTTTTTATTTTTAATTTTTCTCCTGAGTTTGTCAAGCTAGATTGTCAAAGTCATGTTTTTAAAAAATAATCTGTAATCTTGCTTTGAGAAAGCTATTAGTGTGGGTTCAGATTCCTCTTAAACCCTCCACCATAATTACAAATATTTACATTTGGTGGAATTTCATTTTTTTTTCCCCCCTTCAGTGACCTACATTTCATGAATGCTGTCTTGTGTTCCTGCTCATGCTGTGTGTCTACTCTGTCTGTTCTGTCTGTTGGGTCTGTTCCATCTGTTTGTGTCTTGATTAGTGTCTGACTAAAGCTCCATCTTATAAATATTTGTGGACATCAGTAATTTCGTATCCACGCCGTTGCTTGTATCAAATGCGTAAGTGGAGGGGAGTTAGTATGTAGCAATTTCAGTTAAAAATAAATACAGGTCTGTGCTTTAGAACAATGGATTAATGCTGAAGATTGTTTTAGCTAGTTAGGAGTTTCAGAAGTTTTAACTATGGCATTTGTGCCAGTAATCAGTATATGCAGGTAGTAGATAAGCTGTACCTCTTTTGGTTGGTGTTTTCTGGTTGTTTGGGGTTTTTTTTGGCTGCCTAGAAAACCACAACATTTTATTTGATAAAGTTAGATAGCATATAAAAGACAAAGTGAAGGTGCTTCAAAATTTCTGCAAAACTAAGACTACTGGAGAAGATCCATATTTTTTTTCTGAGCAGCAGCTCTGCAGTCTCCAAAGACCTAATAACCTTTGCAAAACTATACAAAAGTGATCCAGGAGGAACAGTTTTAACACTACAGCCTATCTGATAGTTAGTAAGCTCATGTCAAAGTCTGAATTCCTGCCTGGGATGTGCACAATTCATTCCTGGAGTCACATCAGAGGTTAAGACAGTTCCAGCAAGTTGCTCTTTGTTTAAAACATCTATAATGTGTGAGGTTTGGGGTTTTCTTCTTAAACTGAACTGGGTTTACTTGCCAACTAGTAATGAATTAATAGAAATCATAATGTTTCACTATACTGAATTTTTAAATGCCCATTGTGGATTTCTAAACAGTCTTGTAAGTTTTGGGACTAACAACAGATGTGGTTGCCCTGCATGTGTATCCTTCTGTGGGAGGCTAGTCCAGCTCAGTGTAAAATGGGTCAGTTCCACACATGATGGATGTGAATGTCTGCTGGGTCCCTCTTGTGCTGTGGAGCCCAGCTTTTTAATGCTGCCCTGGAGTTTTCTAGCTTTCCCATCACTCAGGTCAAGTTTTCCTCCTCTGCTTTGATCTATGGTAATAGTCTTGATTTTTTATTTTATTTTATTTTATTTTTTCCTGTTTTACAGTGGCTTGAACTTTATTGATTTGATGGTGCGACAGGGGAACATTGACAACCCTCCCAAGACACCACTTGTTCCTGGGTTTGAATGCTCTGGAATTGTAGAAGCTCTCGGAGATAGTGTGAAAGGATTTGAGGTAATATTTTCTTTATTTTCAGAGCAAGAGTAAATAATCACCAGTTCACTGAGTATGTTGTCCCTAATCTCTTCTAGTCTGCCAGTGACAGCAACATTCACCACCCTGTTGAGATTTGAAAGGGCAATTTTTCTCTGCTGCTTCCCAAGCATGACAATGTCCTCTTGAATTAGTTTCTAAAGCCAGCACCGTCATCTCCTTGAAAGTCTTCCTGAAAAGTCACTTGTGCCATGTGCGTATCCTGATGGCTAAATAGGAACTTAAAAGCATGACTGATTTGCTTTTTTGAAAGTAAAAGAAATTGATCAAGTTTCTTTTTGTGGCCATGTTTGCTGTCATCATTGCTCTGTTCCTCAAAGCCCAGAAGCTGCTAATTCTGGTTTCAGCTTTTGATCCTGAGTTAATGAGACCCATGTCTACAATAAGCATTACTTCTTACAACCAAGTCATGAGATGCAGATGAAATTGGGACCCTGATTCTGGGTATCTTACTTATCCTGATGACTCAGGAAAAGGTTCCACTTCACCTGACAGAATAGTGATAAATGACAAATAGTTAAAGTGTATAACTGATTGGCTTTATAACTGATTGGCGTTATGTACAATTTGGTCTTGCTTATTACACATAAACAGCATTCTATCCTGCCTCCTATTCCATTATCTATGTTACACATCTATATTCCCCCCAATCTTGCACTTCATTTCCTTAGTAGCTAGAAAAAAATTGAAATAAAACCTGAGTTAATGCATGTCAATCTCAGCTATTTGCCAAGTCACTCAAATCCTCAAGTAATTGCATTTTCTGAATTATTATTGTATCTTGTTCTTAAGAAGGCTATTACTTAGAACATTTTTATTGAAAGGTTAAATTTTTGCTCTTCTAGAAGAGCTGTAAAATTTCTCAGTCAAGTGGAGACAATGACAAAGATAGTTTCTAGTAGGGTCTCAGTGATGATCTCTGCTTAGGACATTTCTCTACCTTCCCTATTCTGTCTCATCTCTGCCTTGAACCAAGTCATAACCTTCCAGTATCTCTACTGCTTCAATTGTTCCGGTCTAGCATCTTTGTTTTATAGTTACACCCCATTCTATGAAAGGACTATAGAAAGGCTCTGCTCTAGATCAGCATTATCAGTGTAAAAGTTTTTGCTTAAAGAACATCATGAAGCTACAACATATAGTGCTTTTTGAATAACATTGCACCTGACTGAATATACTGGGTCTCTTTTGAAGTTATGCCTTTGTTCTGTCTATAGAATATGTCTGTGCTCTGGTGTACTCCCTGAGACTGAAAGAAGCCGTGGCATTTTGGTTTTTTGCATATAACCTGCATAGCCACGGTAGCATTTGAGTGCTCTAGAAGAAGAGGTAACACTCAGAATAACTGCTGTGCACAGGTATGAGCTCATCATGAGGAGGACGTACCATGAGGGAGATGCAAGGAGGTTCTCTCAATTTCTTCATGGATTTCTTGCAGAGAATAGGAGCACACCAGATGCTTGTTGTCTCCCTGATATACACTGTTACCCCTGTCCACAGCGATGACAGGAATGACAAAGATTGCACCCTACATCTTTTGGCCTTCTTTCCCTTTCTAGATCTCTTCCAGTTCAAGTCACGTGGAAGTTATGGGCATCTCATGCTTTGGAAAAATATCTTATTGGCCCTTAGTCTGGTACTACCTGAGATACTGCCAGCCATTGATTGTGTTCATTTGCTGTGCTTGCATTCTTGTATGACAAATGACAGCACTGAACAGCAGTTCATTTTGACAGCAAAGTGTAAGAACATACTTTACTCAGAAGGAAAGCCTTTTTATGGAATTGTGGTGTAATACCTGTTCCTTCTCCCATTACAAGAAAATGCTGATTTCTACTGAGCTCAAATGTATCGAGCCTGATTCCTCTTTAGTTGTGGGGAGGATTCTCAGGAGCTAAGGCCTTATCTGACATGATGACTAGGCTCTGTATGGTGTTTGCAGTAAAATCTGGTATTTATTACTACTAAGTAATACATTTGGGATCACCAAGAAGTACTTCTCTGCATTGTTTTGGTAATAATTTATTTTTATTTGCAAGGAAATAGTAGGACATCTTAACATCTTCACTAAGGACTTCTAGAAGACTAGATTTTAGATGCTTCTTTAACAGCATCAGGGATCCACAGAGTGGTTACCAGTGAGGCATTGTTAATTTTAATGTGTTTTTCAAAAGGAGGAGGCATTTAGGTGAAATTGGAATGACAGTTCTGTTTCAGCATCCTCATTCTAAAAGAGTCAAACCCTTCAGATCTGTCAGCAGCACCTTTAGCTTTTAGCAAACCCACAATATCCCAAAGCCAAAGTGATGACAAGTACTTAGGAGACCAAAATGTTCTTGTGCTATAAATGTTTTCCTGGAAGTAAAAGCATTGTGCTTTACTCCATTGCTATAGAATATAAATGAAATAGTCCAAGAATAACCTGTAGTATTTCTAAAGCATTAGTGGGTATTAGCAGAATGTAAGATCGAGAATATCAGGCAGATAAGCAGAGGTGTTTGAGAGGGACAGCTGCTCTTAGTTTTAGTTAAAACACGAAGGTCTGAAGTTCGATGCTATTCCTGCCTTATTAGTTATACTGTAGGTCTGCTGAAGAGCTCCTTCCATGCTTAAGGATGCTGGTTTTGTAGCTGTATTATAGAAAGGCAAAGAGATCCAAAACATGGTGAAAGATGCATATGGGCTGAGTGTGTAAGAGTCATGCATATGAAGCTTTTAAAATATATTGGCCAGATGTTTGCTCATTGTCACTCTCCCTTGTAGCACCACTAGACCAATTTCTACTTTTATGTGAGTGTTGATTTCCAAGTCTGGTTGTACCCTTGCAGGACCCCCTCAGCTCCAGTTGCCTTGTTATTACTATTATCTGTCTATGGGGAGTCACTATCTCTATTTTAGAAACCTGAAGCTACAACGAAGGCTGTTACACAAACATACGAATTTGATGTGCCTGGCCTTCTGAAATGTTCCTAGGAACAGCCAACGGTAGCTGATATTGACATAAAATGTTTAAATCTCTATAGTAAATACCCTTTTGCTACTATATATTTTTTCAAAGAAATTTTGTACAGAAAATTTGCATTCAAAGATGACAGTTCATTGCTCCTTTAGATCTTCTCAGATTCACTTTGTAGGCTTAGTAGTGCCTCAGAATCCAGAGGTGTATTTTTGATGTTTAAGGTGTCTTATTTGAAGGTGCAGGATCAGCTTTTACTCCTATGAGTGAGTGTAGAGATGACAATCATGGAAATTTATTAGTAGAAACAGTTATTAAGATAACAAAAACAGAGAGTGGATACAGATAGTGTTATCTTCTAAATGAGAGCTTTCCAAACTCTTTAATGGTCTCTGTGCACCATAGTACAAGGCCTCCTGTTCTCAGTCCACAGAGAGGAAAAGGAGCTCTAAATTATTGTGAAGACTGAGGAAGCAAAGTGAAAATTATCTTAGGTGTAGTTTTGTTTGTTCTGTGCATCTCACTGATATGTGAGCAAATTTCCTGGTTAGTAGTAAGAATGCTGTTTTCACTGTTTACAGGCCCACTTGTTATTTAGGAGCTCTGTTAGCAAAAGATGGTCTGTAGTAGTGGTGATGGAAAACTGCTTCATTGGAGAAGCAGTGTAGCAAAAAAAGAAGAGGTGGCTTTTTGTTAAATTCAGCTTTTTAAATAAATACAATTTAAAAATGGCAGAATCCCAAAGCTGGGCAGCTTAAGTGCTATTTTGCCAAAGATATGGAACACTGTTATCTTCACAGTCCATGACACATATCTTGAACAGAAGAGCTGCAGGTTTTACAAGTTGCTCTCTCGAATCTCAATTGCAGCCATCTCCTCAATGCTGTTTTCTTCCTTTTTTTGTAGATTGGAGACAGAGTCATGGCTTTTGTAAACTACAATGCATGGGCTGAAGTAGTGTGTACCCCAGTAGAATTCGTCTACAAGATCCCAGATGACATGAGTTTTTCTGAAGCTGCTGCATTTCCCATGAACTTTGTAACTGCCTACATGATGCTCTTTGAAGTTGCTAACCTAAGAGAAGGCATGTCTGTGCTGGTTCACTCAGCAGGAGGTGGAGTGGTAAGTTGGAACTTTTCTTACCTTCCTGTCACCAAGTGACTGAAGCAGTCTGCATCTCAGTTTCTGAAATGAACCAGAAACCATTGGACAATCTCTAAGCTTGTGCAAAATCTAAGATGCTGACAGGGGAGTTTGTTTACGTTTGAAATGATGCTGTTGTTTTCCATAAGACAGATTTTATGAGCTGAGAACAGTCTTTCATATTAGAGTACCTGTTCTGTTTTCCTGTTATGCCTATTTATGCTAAACTACTATTCTGTTGTCTACTGAGGGCTGGTCGGCAGCCCCAAACACCTTATCCCTACTTCTGTGCCCTTAGACCTTCTCTCAGGTTTTCATTTAAAAGAAGGCTGTAATCAAAGGAGTAAATTCATGAGTTCACTGTACCAAGTATTTTTAGCTAACGATAATCCTACTTGCAGTAAATGGCCCTCTTGGAATACTTCTTTAAATGAATGGAATTTATAATCGTATTATGCTTTGGCACAGTACAACCTAGAGCGTTATGGCTGACTTTATTGTTCTTTAATATGAAATCTTTTCATGTGGAATTTAGGACTGCTAAAGCAACATGATGCCACACATTTAGGGAGAGTGTATATTCTACAGGAATCAAAGGCTCAGCTTTAGCTGGAGGGCCATTTGCCCGGCTGGCAGCATACATACCCAGGCTGAGCATACAGAATTAGCAAAACACCCAAAAGCAATCCCTGCACATATGCATGTATCTTGAGAAAATGAACTTCCAATTAAGATAAGTGTCCTTGTTAAATTTCTTTATTTCTTTCTCTTTTCGTCTTTCTAACCTCACTGTCTTCTGCTATTTCTTCCTCCTCTTCCTGAAGCACTATTAATGCTCTACCAACTCTCACATAGTCTTCTTCACTAGTGCCCAACCTCTGTGCTGGACTGTTCCTGTAAGGAGCTGCTGGCTTTCCCTCTTTCATCTCAGATGCTCAATGAGAAGCTTTTGACTGGTCCTCTGCTGTGGCTGCTTGTGGACCTAGAGAAGGATGAGTCCTGGTTGGCTGCCAGGAGAACAAGGAGAAACCAGATCCATCACCTGCTAAGCAGTTAGAGTTGCCAAGGGAAAGACCAGAGATGCAGGAAGAACAGCCAAGTTGGACTCTGTCTCTGCAGATAGGGATGCTAAACAGAGACTGTCTCTCAGCTCTCAACCTGGACAGTGAAGTAGGCTAGAGAAATTACAGAGGCTTTCTAGGAGAACATGGTACAGGCTCACAGTTTTATTGCTTGATTCAGTCAGACTTGAAAGAGAACTGATACCTTGCAAAGCATCCTGCTATCATTGCTTGAGCTGCTACTGACCAAGATCTAACCAGGGCAAGGGTTGTCATACACTCTCTTTCAGACTGCTGTTTGGCAAGACGCTTAACGCTTCTGCTTACGCTGTTATATTAAGTAGCAGGACATATAGATAATTAGCAAATTATATAAATGTGTAATATAAATGGAATTTAAATGCTTAAGGCTGTGGAAATACTTAGGTGTCCTGAACTGGTTGCTAAAATAACGAGAAAGTCAGCTAACACTGAACTTCAAAAACTTCCCGTTACCATACATCAAAATTATGCTCAGAAATATGAGTTTGCAAGAACACATGACTTACTGTAGGACACACATTGCCTATCTTAACTGTAAAATGCTGTAATTAATGTTTGAAATCACTGTAAGACAATGGTAGAGTGGCTCCCTTCACAAATGTACTCCCCCGTCTTTTTTTCAAGTGAAGAAAATTGAAGAAAATACACTGAGAAAACTGAGCAGTAGCATGTACCCTGCTGGGACTGATCTGCTGTATGAACAAATTACTTCTTTAAAATAAAGACTGTTTAAGTCAGTGCATTCAGTGCAAGTCACAGCAGAGGCTTGTATGAGATTATGAAGTTGCTTCTAAAATGTGAACTTGTAAACTGTATCCCAGATTGGTTAATTAGTACAGATACAGGACTATTGTATTTTAAAAAAATAATAAAAACCCCCAACAAAACCAAAGCAAAAAACCTTAGGCTCTTCTCTTCTAGCTTCAATAAACCCAGTCTATATCTCTGTGGTATCTACCTGGAAAATTAATTACTTCAGGGATTCTAGATTTGTAAGAGACAGCCATTATGCCTATTTGCTTATTTGTTTGCACTTTATGTACTTCCTATTCTGAATATCTAGAGCACAGAGCTTTGGTCACTTACCAAGATTGTGTAAACACTTCAATTTCATCACTTAACCCTTCAGACACAAGACAGAATTATTAGCTAGTTCTTTAGTATTTCAATCTTACAGATGCTAAAATTAAGCTGCCTTCCATGCAGGAGCATCAATTGCTATCTTGAAGCTGTGATCTGACCTTCCCTTTTAGGCTCAGCACCAGAGGAAGTGCAAGCAGAGCAAGTTACAGATGCAGCTCTCATGTTTGAATTTGAAGGGTAAATCTGACTTGGCAACAGATTTAGGTCATCCTGGCAGGATTGGTTACTGCTTGGCAGGAGCCCTCTTTTTTATTGTGCCTCTTCTGCATAAATTGCAAATATTTGAGGATGTGTTCCAAACTGAATCACTGAAGTGGTGATATTTTATCTGACAAAGAAATGGCACTCCTTAGTAACTCTAGTCACCCACTATTGCAGGCAGCATATAGGAACTCTCTCAAGAGAATTATAAAACTTTTTACAAAACAAGTAACTGTGTGTTTATCATTTCAAATTCTCTCTGCTTTGTCTCTTGGTGAGAAATATTTCTCAATTTCCAGCTGAAGTTGTCCATTAATTAAAATTAGCTGTTCTTTCCTCTTGAGGCATTTCTTTCAGAGTGCTTTGGTAGGACGGATGTGTGTTTATGGCTAGAACAAGCTCCAAATAAAATCTCTCCTTAGCCTGTATTTTTCAGGCTGAAAGCAGGTTTGCTAGTTCATGCCCCTTTTTTGTGAGGTCAGATGTCTGTTTCATTTGGTCATCCTACAGACACTGATCCAGGTAGATACATGCGTATTTCCTGGACTCTGAGCTGGTTAGCAGGAAAGCAGCAGTAAGCTGGTATAAAAGCCAGAGCCTTTTAAAGTAGCTTTCACAGTATCCTTGATCCTTTCAAACATTGTATGGGTAGACTGAATTTAGGTCTATCTGCACTTAGCAGGTTGGAGCACATTAAATAGCACTCCTGTGTTTAAGTCAGTCCTTCTTGAATATGAATAATTAGAATTTACTCTGGTCTTCTGATGATCCTGGCCAGCATGCTAGACAATTAATATTTACTACTTTGCTGAAATCTTTATCATTTTCCTCTTAGCAGATCGTAGCTGTTCTGCACTTGATGAATACACCCCAAGTGCTTTCCTCGTATTTCATTTCCAGCAGCCAAGGAAGGGAATAAATCAGCTTACACAGAGATCTGTGTAACAAAGTGTAGGCTGCTTGAAGTACCCAAGCTGTCTCAGTTAAATCTGGACAGGGGATCTCGAGGCTGAGCTGCCCTGTGCTGCTGAACATCTCTGAAGCAATGGATGTGCTCCCTCAGCAGCTTGGGAGAGTTCCTGTGCATCAGTCTGTTTCCAGACACTGCTTCCGAGCTAATCTGTTAGTCAAACACAAAAGCCTGGCTAGTCATACACGAGCAGTTCTTTTCCTGACCAAAGCAGCCTGCAGCCTCTGAAGGCCTTTGTTTTTGCCTCTGGAAGCCTGGCACTTCCCAGAGGACTTGTCATTTCCCTGAAACCCCTGCTGTGTTATGTCACACACGGGCAGTACTTAACTCTTCTCTGGCTGCTCTGCCTTTCCAGATGGAGCTGGTATTCTCCAGGTGAGGATCGTGGCTGGGGTCTGTTGCTGCAGCTCCACTGAAGTGAAGTGGATTTAAACCAAACAGAGATTCAGCCCTCATTTTTGGATGCACCTCAGCTGCATGATTTTGCAAGGGGGTAGGAAAAAACCCACCCTGGTAGCTGTTGCAGAAAATAAGATGTTTTCAGGGTAAAAGCGATAATTATCTCATGGTGTGGTTTTTTTCCCTTCTCTTACTTCCAAAACTTATTTGTGGTGCACTGAGTGTAGTAGGGGCTGCCTTCTAGTTGTTCAAGAATTGAATTTTAGTTTGTTCACTCTGCAATGTTCACCTTAGTGCTTGGTTTCCAATTTCCCCTGCTACATTTGGAAAAATGACACCTTTAGGAGATGGAGTGTTGTGTATGTGACTTCTCACACCAGAGAAAAGTTTTTCTTGGTGCCAGGAGATTAGTAGATGTCTTCTCTTTCAGTTTTATTCCTATGTTTGTGTTGTGTAGCACCTTCAGATACAGTTATGTGCCATCAAAGCACTTTGGAAATGTGGATTCTCCTCACGTTCAGTTCCAGACAGGTTTCTTGTGCAAGATTAAGCCTGATTTTGGTTGTTGTTGTTTTTTTAAAAAAATGCTGTAGCACCTCTGGGCTGCAAATATATCACAGAAATGGTAATTTCTTACTGATGCTATTGGTTCTAATAGATGCAGTTTTACAGGGTGGTATCTTTTAGACCGTTTGTTCTCTCCTATAAATCTGGGCTCAGCTTACATAATAGCATAAAAAGGTGATTTTCTGAAAGTATACTGATCTATAACAGCTTGCACATCAGACTCAGGTCTAGCATGTGCCAATAGGTCAGACCCTTTCAGAAATTCACTGACCCATGTACCCATTATTCATCTTTCATCCAGCAAAACTGATAAGTATTAATGAGCTAATTAGAATAAGTTTTCTTCTCTTGTGCTTTCTATATTGACATTTAAATGTCAATTCTTTTTTTTTCTTTTTTAACTTGCAAATTGTTTAAATGCAGAGAGCAGGCTATTCCACTTTTACTTGCTAAAAATGTAACTTTCTGTTTTTATGCGATGATCTTGGTATGAGATGTTTCCAATCCTGCAGGTTTAAAATTGTGTTTTAAAACAAGGGAACGTAAAGAATAGAAATCTTTTACTGTATCTAAAACTGCTATAAGCATAACCACTTATAGTAAATTCTGTAATAATCCTACCTGTTGATTAGGTTCAACACATTGGTTTAAAAAATTGACAGGATGCCTTGAAAAAGGGACCCATCAAACAGACTTTGGAGCCAAAGACACACAGGACTGCTATGTCAAATCCAGTATTAGGAGACATGCTTCATTTCCACAAAATGTTTTAATCCAATTTATTAATTCCTCCCCTCCAGGGAGGGGGCTTCCACAACTTCCCTGGGCAACCTATTCCAGCACCTTACTATCCCCATGGTGAAAAATTTCTCCTGGATGTCTAACCTAAATCTCCCCTCATTCAGTTTAAAATCATTACCCCTTGTACTATCACTACCCCCTCTGGTAAAAAGCCCCTCCCCAGTTTTCCTGTAGCCCCTACAGGCACTGGAAGGTGCTATAAGGTCTCCCCAGAGCCTTCTCTTCTCCAGGCTGAACAGCCCCAACTCTCTCAGCCTGTCTTTATAACTGAGGTGCTTCAGCCCATTGACCATCTTCGTGGCCCTTCTTTGGACCTTCTCCAACAGCTCCATGTCTTTCCTGTGCTGAGAACACCAGAACTGCACACAGTATTTGAGGTGGGGTCTGAGCAGAGTAGAGGGGCAGAATCCTCTCCCTGACCCTGCTGGCCACACTTCTTTTGATGCAGCCCAGGATGCAGTTGCTCTGTGTGCTCCAGTGCACACTCGTGGCTCATGTTGAGCTTCTCATCTGCTACCACTCCCGACTCCTTTTCCTCGGGATATTGTGATGTGGTTTTGTCCAGGCAGGAGGAGGCAGAATAAAAGGGTGAGAGTGTGCAGTGGGACAGGAGCCAGCATGGATACCTCACCTGCCCTTTCACAGAAAACCCTTTGTGCCTACTTCATCTGTGAACTATGAACATTCCGAACGCCGGGGCCTCACACACTTGCAATTAAAATGTATAGCACTCTGAACACTAGCTACTAATCCAGAGGTAGCTAGATGACTTGGGGGATTAGAAAAGAGACTTAAGAGTGACTTGCATAGCCACAGTGCTGTTTTGCAGCTTAATCAAATTCCACAGAAATTAGTGAAATGTTTGGGTTCATAGGTTGAGTTCAGTTCTCTTGTTTGGGTGTGGAAAGCATGAAAGATCCAATATCAACCTTTATTCAAAGATTTCTGAAATACTAATACTAAGAATACTGTGCACAAAAATAAGTAAGAGTTCATGTTAAATTAAGAGAAAGCTCTAGAAGAATTCTTTGTGGAGTTGCCTCAAAGTACTTCAGTGATGTTATTCATCCAATTATAAAAGTATTGGTCATATGAGTCAGGTTTAGCTTTTAAATATCTACAGGAAGCTGGAAATTTTTCTGATCTGAGATTTTAGATAAGCTTATCTCTGTGGGGAGAGTGAGGGGTGTACTAACAGGTTTGAGTCAGGAGGAAAATAGGTGATGAACATCCTCAGATTTTTGTGCATTTCTCCTAGTCATCTGACTGTTGGTTTGTTAAATGTTAAATCATTTTCTGCCGGATAAAAATCAACATGTTTTCTACTCTAATATTTGACCTAAACATCCTTTGTTTATCATTCAGGATATACTCGTCCCTCATCTTCCCAAGTTAGATTGAAAATGCAGAAAACTACTTTGAGAATAGATCAATAATGTCAGAATTTCACTCAACCAGCATAGACTATAAAATACTGACTTATCTAAATCCCTGTGGGTGATGGTTTTCTGGGACATGCAGAAAGTGAGAAAAGAGGATCACTAGTGAAAATGACTAGGAAAAGAAGAGACACAAAATACAGATTTTTTTTTCTGGTAATTTTATGTTACAATATTTGTGGAGGCTTCAGGATGACATGGTAATAGACAAAAGTAGTATGAGAAGAGTGAAACCTTTTCTGCTCCCAGAAGACATTAGATCTTGTGAGATGAGGCCGTTAAGGAAGGATGGATTCCTATGATTTCTAAGAGATTAGGGATTCCAACCCAGGAAAAAGGTAGATGATTTTAAAAATAAAAGGTCATTTATGTTTGGTATTGAATTACCAAGCTATGAATCAGCATTGATACCTGGGTCCAGCTATAAGCTTCTCTGAGCTGTAGGACCTGTCGTCCAATTTGCTGTGATATTCCATTTCTCATCTGTAAAGTGAGAGTGAGAATGCATCCCTTCTCCTGCTCTCTTCTTTGTCTATTGGTATTTGTCCCAGGGATTACATAAACTGTGCCTTGCTCTGTAGATTTTTACTGTCTAATAGGAAACCAATCTGAAACTTCTGGGTGCCACCATATATAAATAACAGTAATATTGTCCTCTCTGGCAATATTCAGCTCACAGGATTGTCACTAGTAATTACATTCAGCAAAATATGTGAGGATGCTGAGACCCCAAGGGTATGCAGGGTTATCTAATTATTCTACTGTAAATAAAACCCAAGCACTGATTACTGGTATTTACATACTAATAATCAGGATTTCTGGTTGGAATGAACAGAAGTGTGTTTATCCCTGGATGGTCTTACTGGTCATGCATACAGTTTACAAATGAAAACCTTTGGCTGTAAATATAAGTAAGAATCTGCTTCATTTTTGGACATTGTTTTTTAGAATGACAGTGTAATTTCTTGCTTCTGGGCAAATCCATGTAACCATGATAGCTCCAGTGGAATAGTGTGGTTACAAGAGGCAGAATGTGGCTGCCAAAAGCCTGTCTTCAATCTGTTAGTGTGTTAAGAGTAAGACCCCAGGGTTGTAAAAAGATGACCTGTTAGGATTTTTGTGAAATCTAGATGGCTCAGTGTTTATGCAGTGCTACCCTTCTTCTCTAAGCCTCATGAAATTAGTGGCTAAAACTTAGAAGTTAAGTCTTCTGGGGTCTGAAGCTGGAAAGTCAAAGACTTTTCAATGCACAGTTTCTCTAACACCCCAAGTCCTGCCTAAACACTGACATAGCATCTAATTGACTCCACTTGATTCCTGCCCAGGCGGAGGAGGAATATACACTAGGACAATCCTACAAACAGTCTAGGGCATTTTATCCCCTTTGAAGGTAGTGTTACTCAAGGCTATTCCTACATTTTGAATAATCAATAGTAGTTATTGATAAAGAGGTAAACCAGATTTGCTTTAGTATGCAGTATTTGTTATGCTGTCTTGCTGTCTCCCACTGAAAATGGGATTGCTTGAGAATGGTAGTCCACATGTTGTCCTGGGCCTGACTAAACTGCACCTTCTGCATTAGGACTGCAAAAACTTGAAGCATAAAAACTGTATCTGAGTACCAGAGGAGCTACGTACATTTTAATTATCTGCCAGAAATTCTGTTTTGGTAACAGGTGCTGCAAGACCTTCCCTGTGAGCAGAGAGGATTGGAATCACATATGGAAGCAGTCAACACACACTGTTCTGGGGTGTGAAGTGTGAAGGGGACTGCTGAGGTTACTCAAGAGCTCTGGGAGAGATGCACTAGAATGCAAGTAGCAAATGTCACTTATTTCCCAGAACTCTTTGAGTAATCAATTTTGGTGGTCCTGGTGATGCTGTTTCCCTTAAATTGCCCTGCTTTTGTTAAAAGATCAAGAGCTCTATTCCAACACAATTTTTGAAACATTAAATTACTTTTATTCCTGCAGTTGCTTTGTCTTCAGAATATCCTTTTGATTTTAAATACATTTTTTTTTTCTGTGGCTGAGCTACATTGCACTGGCAAGAACTTAGTCTGGGAAGTCCTTGCACTTGTTTGGTCTTGGATTTTGCTGTGTCATGAGTGAATTTGCAGTTGGAACATCTGTCAACCAATTTCTGTATCAATGAACTAACATAATAATGTGTTTGCAGGGTCAAGCTGTTTCTCAGCTCTGTTCGACTATTCCAAATGTTACTGTTTTTGGAACAGCTTCATCTTTCAAACATGAAGCAATCAAAGACTCAGTAACTCACCTGTTTGACAGAAATGCAGACTATGTTCAAGAAGTTAAAAGGTAATCTCTTGTTTTCCTGAATAAGGGTTGTGTTGTATCTGGTAAAATACTATGACAGACACTAGGCTGATCATATTTGTGGAAAGAGATTACATTTGTGAATTTGAAAACTGTAATTTAGTCCAGATATTCCATCTGTCCACTACAAGGGACAATAGAGTAAGTATCTCCCTATATTGTATATCCAACATAAGCTTTGTTAGTGCATGTTCATAGTTGGACATCTGTTGTAAGCCAAGTAAATTAAGTGAAAAAGAATAAAGGTCTTAAAAGAAGGATGTACTTTGCAATTATCTGCATATGCAGTAGCAGACTAATGCACTGAGTAAGATATTGTTAGTGGATCTGTTAGTATTCCGGGTTATTGAGTTCTCTGGTGTGTTTCTATCTGCTTGGGGTTTTATCCTCTGCCAAGGATTTCTATTGGTGCACATGACGTCTGTTTTAATTTCAGATCCTTAGATTTTGTTTGTTTGCTTTTAGATTAGAATCGCCTTGTTGCCTTTTGAAGTCATCATGTGCATTTCTATTTAAATTATTTCAAATACTTTGTTTTCCAATTTTTCTAGCTGTTTTTAGATACTGATGTTGATGCAGGTGAAAAAGCTTCAGAGCTGATAAGAAAATCTTAGTAAAAACGTCTTTTTGATTTTACTTGTCAGATGAATAAGAACAGTGTTCTCCCTTCATCTTGAATCTGTCAAAATACTAGATTATGAAGCGGAGTATAGAGCAAGAAACTTCTCAAAGGGACACCTCAAGGTAGTACAGATGACAGACTTCCTGTCAGTGTTCCTCAGGGTGACATGTAAAGTCTTGGAAGTTCTGTTAGTAGCCCTCGCAGAAGGTCTTCAGTATGTAGCGGAGCTTTTGTCTCAGCTGTTAGCAATCCAGACTGGTCTGGAAGGAGAAAGCAGGGTGTCTTGCTACTGCTTCTGGAGCACTCCCAAGAGTGCTTAAGAGAACAATTGAAATGATCAATCACAAAGGATGTGTGATATCAAAGGAAGATTTTTCCATATGGGAAATTTCACCAAAAGATACAGGACTTGTCCAGCAGATGACACCCCTACCATTTTGTTACAGCTCAGAAGAATTGCAGCACATTTCTTCAGCACTTTGATAGCCTTTCTCTCTGGGAAGTAAACATACCTGATGTTTTGCTGCCTCTCAAAAGACTGAATTCTAGCAATCCCCGCTTTACAAACTTTGATTCAGCAG